ATATATATATATAAGTTTTTGTTTCGACCCCTCTAGTTATAATTCTCATGTTTTTCCCTTGCATGTTGTTGGGTGACAGCTCCCACTTCGGCCACAAAACTTTAAGGAATTGACAACTTTGGTTCATTTTCTAAAAACTTATTAATTCCAATCCCTTTAATTCTTTAGCCATTTTGATATTTTTGGTCCTTGCAATCAAAACTTTTACATTTATTCATAAAAAACACAAAAAACGGCACGAGACAAAGCCCGGACTTTTCACCCTTGCACTTTCTACGTCTGTCATTTTCTTCTATTGGTATATTTTTTCTATATTGGTCCTCATATTTATTTATTTTTTTGTTTTTTCTTGCCCTCACCAAAGTCAACTAAAACATACAACAACACATATTAATCTATAAACAAAAACGACACTCAAATCAGACGCACACGGCCCATACGGAGGTTGGCCAACTTATCTAAAGTCTTTTATGAGATTAACCCTAAAATAACATATCACATCACTAAAAACATATGATCAAAATAAGTAGTAATATTGTGTAGTACTATATTGTACTTATTTAAAATTCTACTACAAAAACTAAAATGTTTTTGAAAATTTATTTGAAATTCTTTTTATTATATTAAAAAATTCAGAGTGTTTTGTTTTATGTTTTATAATTGAAAATAAACAAAAATACATATTAAATCAGATAAAATAGATGAGACTTGTTTATAGATTACTAAAATGTTTACAGATAGTGCTATATGCAACACTTGCATACCAAAATATGTTGCTAAGGATACGTCTTCTTCAGAAGTTACCTCTTCTAAACATCTAATAATCTACCCCAAATTCTTTCTAAAATAGGCAAATGACATAAAAGCCCTTAAGTTTGAAACAAATGTACGTATTTACCCTTTTAAACTTAACATTTCTGCCAAACATAAGGGTTCGAACCAGAAATAAGCAAAAATATATATTTGAAAAAAGGTTGCAACCCTTATTTTAAGTTGATGTGTAGCGGATAAGCGAAATGAGGATTTTCTATTAGAATAATCGTTTTAAAAAATATATATACTAAAATAAGGGTAAAATAGTCATTTAACCAAACTTAACAGATTAAGATTAAAATACGGATGCTAAATGGAAACCTGTCCAAAAATTTTGCAAGTTGGAAGCTATTTGAAATCCATCCAAAGAAAACTACAAACCACAAGGGCCAATTTTGCAGCTTTCACTCTAATATAAAATATAGATTTTACTTAAATACTTAATGTTGCTATGCAATATGCATCACTTACATACCAAAAAGTTGTTTCAAAGATTGGTTCTATCTTCTATCAATTAATATCTAGCAAACTACCTCATATTTTCCCTTCCCTCGTTAGTTGTTAATTGAACTTTGCATCTGTACCTGAAAACACAGGTCACACATAAACATAATATGTAAGAACAAGTTCAATAGACTAGACATGAAGAACAAGTTCTAACTTTATACATATTCAATTGCAAATAATAAAAGAGTCTTAATATACAACCTAAGTGATTAGTCTCTTCAAGAAGTGGTGATGAATGTCAGTCAAAGAACAACTACATATGTTAATGGAAATGTTTAAGGGTGACGGATTCAAGTCTTCAACAGTAATCGTTAAGTAAGAATATTGCTTACTTGTTTTGAGGTTGAGAGAATGAGAGAACACACCTGATTCATACTAAAACACCATCAACCAAAGTAAGCATCATGCCCATATGCTTCTCCAAAATTTCCATCACAGCTTCAGTATATGCAGCTTCTTCTTTATCTTCAGAAGCATCCTCAATGTTCATAAGACCTTCATTTCCACCCTCAAGATCTTTCATCTTCATTATACCAAAATATATCCCCTTCATCACATACCCTGAAACTGGCAACTTCAAAAGGGGGATGTAACCATTACTCATGACAGTAGGAACCTCTACACGATTGAACTCAGCTTTTGAAGCTGAGTTTACCCATTCCTTCACCTCAATGAGCTTTTCTCCATTCAGAGAAAGCCTCCCTCTTCTCCCTGAATCAGTAATTGATACCTCTTCCAACATTGGGAGATCCTTAACGATGTCCATCAACATAATATGCCACGCAATCACATCCTCCAGACACTGAAACGAAATTTCAAAATTTCGCCTAAACATACCATGAACTACCAGGTTTTCTTCTTCTTCATCCCCATTTCCACTAAGAGATAATCCATCCTTATCATAAACTGAATGTGGCGATAGAAACATAAACGATTCGATTCTGTTCCTGAACTTAACCATCCACTTGAACAAACAACGATTATCAATAGCTCTGTGACCGAAAGATGCCAGTTCGATACACAAGGACTTCACTCCTTTAAGCTTGCTCAAAAACGTATAGGCGGATAGAAAAGACTCACCAAAAAACGAAGAAACCATGGGCGGAAACGGCCTACTTGGGGCGACGTCATCGACGGTGTTCTTATCGGGAATGTTAGGGTCTATGAAAGGAACAGTGAAAGAAATGGCATCCACTTGAAGTACAATCGAGGAGAAACGCTTGGAAACCAGATAGCAAAAGCCAAGGGTTTTCAAATCGATTAATTTGTTTATGATTTGGAGGATGATTTCGTCGGGTAAGCGACTAAATGGAGACGAAGCATCTGCATCTTCTTTGCTGTATTTCACTATGTTCTTCATTGTTCAGAATAGCGATCAATGGTTTCGTTCATCGGGATACGGAAACCCTAATCGACCTCCATCTTTTACAGTGAGTTGCTAAAACAGATCATATCCATGTCGAGAACTCGTTACTAGTTCAGCTCTTTGTACAATAAATACCTGATTTATTATTATTTTGAGTAAATTACAATTTTCGTCCTCTAGTACGGTCAGATTCTATCATTTGATCCAACATTTGTGATGTTGGATGTCCCAATTACCGTGTTAGTCCCTCGTGCATATGAAAGAGACTATTCTAACTTTTTTAATTTCTTATTACACCATATGAAGACCACATTAACCCTACAGTCCCCAAACATCCGGTTGTCGATCTTTCTTTTCTAATCGGAAAATAGTCGTTGTCACACCACTCGCTATCTCCCAATTGTTATCTCAATCGAACCAACACAACTACCTACAATCGTCGGAAAACTCAACCATCTCATCCCTCATCTTTTCGAATTTTGTCAAAAACTCAACCATCCCAACCCTCATCTTTGAGAACATTTAAGTCATGGAACCTCATTCCATCCCAGCTCCCACATCCCTCCACCTCTAATGAATCCCACAACTTCCAACACTTCATTAACCACCATATTGTTATGTAAATAACTTATAAAATAGAGTCAAGATAGTGTGTAACACCCGATTTAAGGTATTTTTCATTTTGACCCTTAGTGTGTAAATAACTTGCAAATTTGGTCCCAAGAGGTGTAAAGTGAAACTTTGAGGGGGGTGTGCGTTCGTTGGGCGTACTACTAGTACGTTGGGTGTATGTCGTCCAGGGACAAACCCTAATTTTTAGGGTTTGGACCCTATTTAAGCATCATTATGACCCATGATCCCCTCATTTCTCAACCTCCATTACCCCTTGAGCCTCTTTTCGAAACCCTAACCTATCTAGAGAATATTTGACCTCTTCGTGTGTAACATCCAAAATCTTGAAGATGAATTGTTGAGAATAACCCTATTTCTAGGTCAACTCAACGAGTTGGAGGGACCAACTCGCCGTGTTGAAGATGGATGGATCTCGAGGGTTTAATGAACCAACTCGACGAGTTGGGGAGCCTCAACTCGACGAGTTGGCAGCTGGGAAGGAAAC